GAGCTCTTGGGCAAACTGATTTACCTCATGACTCACACTCGCCCTGACATTGCCACCGCTGTCAGCATGCTGGGCTCCTTTGCCAGCTGCTACACCGTAGAGCATTGGAACGCTGCCAAGCACCTGCTCCGCTATGTCAAGGGCACGAAGGACCTTGGTCTGACTTATCGGTCTGGCCAGCACCTTCGCCTCACGACCTACACTGATGCGAGCTTTGCTCAAGAAACTGGTCGTAAGTCTCGTGAAGGCTGCATTGTCTACCTCGCTGGTGGACCCGTGCAGTGGCGCTCCAAGCTACAGACGGTCACTGCCACGTCTACTGCTGAAGCCGAGTTTATGGCTGCTTACTCTGCGGCCAGCGAGACTATGTTTGTTGATCATTTGGTTCGTGAACTCTCACACGCCGTCTTCAAGCCCGTGTTGTTCAGTGACAACCAGGCGGCGCACATGATTACAAACGGAGCCAACTCTCCGGGCTCCAAGCACATTGCTGTCAAGTATCGCTTTGTGCAAGAGAGGTATGAACGCAACCAGCTCGATGTCCGGTTCTGCGGGACCAAGGGCATGGTTGCTGACCTTCTCACCAAGCTGCTCAATGGACCGAGCCATCGTCGTTTGTCTGACATGCTCTTCCGTTCTCAGCTTGAAGGGGAGTATTAGAGGCGCAATCTGAGACGGTATACTTTACCACGTTGTGTGTCCTCTGGTACTTGATGTTGTCCCACCTTGTTGTGTAACATCTGGTTGTACCATCTTGTTGTGGCATCTGTTGGTCCCAACAGATTGCTGATATCGCTTCCACCTGTCTTCAGTGTGATAGTCCATTCTCTGTCTCCACTGTGTGTGTGTGTTTCCACCTGCTATAAATGGGAGCGATCTCCCTGGATCGGTACCATTTTCCTTCTTGACCTCGGTCGTTCCACTTCCCTCCTTCTGTCTTGTTCTGTCTTGTTCCTTTGCCTTACTTCAATCCATGTTCTCGTATGCACTTCGATTGGTTGGATACCTCTGTGACAATCGCCTTGTCCACACACATTACACTGTACTGGACATACACCTTTAATACCGCCAAAGTGGCGCTGGATGTGGTCAGCGTTCATCTGATGGACCAGCGCCGCAAAGCGACCCTTCCACCGAGGAACAAAGGCCTCATCCAGCCCCGGCTGGTACACACCACGGGCCTCGGCGCAGCGGGCAAGCTGACCAAGCAGATCCACAAAGGAGGAGGCGAACCCACCGGTTGTCGTCATCGCCGCAGGGACGATCAGAGTTTTTCCATGGTTGAAACCTTTGTAGTAGTCGCGCTTCTCCTTTTCGGCTCGGGTATAGGGCAGCGCCCACCTTGATGCAGGCTTGCGAGGTGGTGTCAGCGTCAAATCCGTGCTTTCACGCACTTGAGTATTCTCACTGCTGTCACACGCACTCAGTGTAGGTCGCTATGGGTCTTCCCATCGGAACCCGCATTGCTGCTATGACCTCACACATACGCTTTAATACTTAGACTCATTGGGCCTGATTCGTCTCATGGGGTCACATGAGTAAACACCGCGTGGATAAATCAATTCGGTGTTTGAATTTCAGAGCTGAAAGCCAAGCTGTGCAACCTCGACATCAAAAGCACTACGGTATGCTAAACAACACTGGAAAACAAAACGTCCAAGACGGCGGTCAACAACACAAGTATAAACCTCACAGCACGAACACGAAGAACACCACGGCGCGCTCGTATACAACAAGACACAGAGTCAGGTTGAGAAAACATCTGATGACAAACCAAATAGGAATCATCCGAAAACGGCTCAAACATACAGTAAAAATATCACACGAAAATTACAAGAAAATGAGCCATGGAAAGGTGTTCGCGTCAAAGCCGTGCTTCGCTTCCTCAAACCTACGCGCTTCCTCGCAACCCGAAACTGGCTTCCAGACGCCCCGGAGTTTGACAAAAGGTAGAATCTGGCACTCCCACCTTCTGTGGAAAGGAAGACTTGCAAACGGCCAATCTTGTCACAAAAGGCCATGTGACGCTTGATGGGGTGGCAGGCCAGCAGGTACTTACAGGGTGGCACATGCGCACTCTGGCACACAGAATCGGAAGCGAACCGTCTTTCGATGGCGATGACTGTTGTTAAAATGTAACTACGATGTAAAAAAGTTGGGCGCGTGCATTTAAGCTAGAAATGGGCTGTCAACCGAACTACGACAAGCTGCCTTCAGAGAAGACCTTGCCCTTTGGGTCATGACTCCTGCTTGAAGGACTTCAAAGTAAGGTTTTAAATAAAAGACAGGCCGATCAAAAATCAAGAACAACGAGGGGTTAGCATGTTGACTATTTCGTTCGCATATCCACTAGACTGGCGCGTGGAGCACTCTGGAAGGACCGCTTCTTGGGAAAGAAGAACATGCATGGCATAAAATAATATTATATTATGCTCTCTTTGAGCTGTAATGTGTGTGAACCTGGGGTGTGTGTGAACCTCAGTCGGTCGGGGGGCGGCAAGCCATCTCCGCCCAGTTTGACATACGTAATCTGTTCTTGTGGTTGCTTTCCGAGTGAATACCGACCCA